AAAGGTATTAGACCATTAGCGTACCCAACACTCATTTACACAACACAATTATTTGCACTCTCGTTCGTTTTCAAACGATTCGATCAAAACAAATTCAAACAGAACTCCAACGAGGGTTTTACAATAATAGTACAAACGCCCTCGACCCCGGGGCAGCGACCTGCTACATTAACCCCAACCACAACCACAACCCCCACCATCACCACCACCCCTCCCGTCTGTGATCCTACGTGTGTCGGGCCTAGATATGCAGCATGTACACTGACTGGTGGATACGTTGAAGCCTCTACATCAAGACACGGTGGTGCTAGCACAAAGCAAATACAAAGGTTAATGGACTGTTTGCATACAAAGTATGCTGTCAACAGCACTTGGTGTGGGCTGGGGCCTGGGGTATCCCAATAGTAGAGGAGACATTGCTGGTTGGACTGTAAATGAACTCTCTTCATCACTTGAAAGATGTTATAAAATGATGTATTGTAGCCGAATGGAACGGTGTGGATGCTTGAACTGTTTGTATTGGGGAATCACAGTGTTTGTCATTTTGTTTGTCATTGTAAATGTACTTTTCCTCATCACTTGAAAGATGTGTAAACAATGACATCATATTCTCTGAATTGTGATTGTGTTTGTCAATGTCTTTATGTCATGTTGTCATCAATGAACTTTAAGGGGAAATGGGTTTGGTATGTTTGTCTTATCTTGTGTATGTCTGTTGTCTGTGTGTGTTTGGGAGATTCTCGGATGCTTGGTAATGTCATCTCTCTCTCTCTCTCTCTCTCTCTCTCTCTCTCTCTCTCTCTCTCTCTCTCTCTCTCTCTCTCAATGCAGGGTCCACATCCACATCAAAATTGTTTGTTGTTAAACGCCGCACTCACCAATATTCCAGCTTTGTGACGGCGATCTATCAATAATCGAGTTTGGACCAGACAATCCAGTGATTGACATTATGAGCATCGATCCACGTAATTGGGATACGATGACGTGCAGCAATTAAGTCAGCGAGCCTGATCATACGATCCCGTCAGTGACCTCTTACGACAAGCATGAATTTCTGAAGACCCATTTTAACCCTGATCTTCACGTCTCGACTGAAATAATTACACGACCTTGTCACATTCCATTATAATACATGTCCTGTCTATTTTTCATGTTTTACAAATTAACTTTGGCAACCATTACCATTGTGAACCGACAAGATGGTTTACAAGGGACAAACATTGTGCTTGCCAAACCCTATACGAAGAAGCCGATGTCAGCACATTCCCTTCAATTTAAAAAGGATTCATTGCCCCTGAAAGCTCTCATCCTTCTCTGAACTCAAGTCCAAACTAAAATCTTGTGTCGCATATCTGGCCTAGGGATAATCAGAGCGAGGTTAAGACACAACAATGTTGGCAACAATTAAAAGAAACTTACCTTGCTTGGATTTAAACAGCTGAGAGGTACAATCCAATCCGAGCGCCATCTAATTTCACCAGCGCCTTTTCCACAACGCACCCATTAATATTTTAACTATTTTTCACAAGCACAAACATGCCAGCCCTTGGCAAGGCAAGGTGTTTTTTTTCCTTTCAGCTAAAAGTCCGTTTTTTTACAACAACTCCCATACGCTTCTCACTTGACAATGACCGTCAAGGATTCCGTATTCGGGCTCAGTCCGGGTTTTCGATCTTTCTACAAACTTTGCCTGTAAACTTTCAAATAATCGCTTCCCAATGCCTGTTCGGTGGTATTGCCGGTAAACAGTATTAGCAAGAGTGGAAGAGGGACGCTTGGTGCAGACAAATAATTTGTTGACATGAGATCGAGCAAGCAGCCTATCGAGCGTCACCGACACCCGCCATGTCAACGACGAACAATCAGCTGTGTGCTAAAATCTGAAATTTATTTCTTTACGAGTCACTTTTTGCAACAAGCCATTGGGGAGGAGGATCATAGCATCGAACAGATGACACGAGATTATGTTTTCAAGCTTCACGTGCAAATAGAGAATTCTATAAACAATTTTATTTTTCTTAAGTGTTAACCCGTTTAAACCATTTATGAACAAGCTGTTATTAGGTTAATTAGTTAATACACTTCTACATAGGGTTCGAGAAATACGCTGGTCCAGTGGACAAATGCAAGTTAATATATAGAGAATCTCACCCTCGAACTTTTGATATCAAATAAATCAACACGAGTTGATAAAAGTGGAAAAATTCCGAGGCTTGCCGAGGATTTCTGCCACTTTTATCAACGAGTGTTGATATGTTTGATATCAAAAGACACGAGGGTGAGATTTTATTTATCATCCAACATCATTCTTTCAACTTTTTCAATTTGTGGATAGTAATTAGCAGTGTCTTCAGTGTAAAAAGTACTGCAAACAGCTTCAGTAGCAGAGCCATTAGTGATGTCATTTGATTGTGACGTCATGGTAACCAGTGACGTCACAATGGTCTGCAAAGCATTGTGATGTACTTTCATTGCAGCGATATCTACAGTGTAGATATCTCTTGATCTCATCCAAGCGATATCTCCTGTGGGAGCTAGTTTTGGATGATAAAATAGGACAAGTCACTTTTAAATTGAAGTGGTCATCAAGCCAGCGGAAGCAAGAAATGTCAATCTCATTAAATTGAGGGGCAGTGCGGTAGCCTTGTGATTAACAGGATCGCTCGTCACCCTGAAGGCCCGGTTCGATTAACCACGTGGGTACAATGTGTGAAGCCCATTTCTAGTTCCTTCGCCGTGATATTGCTGGAATATTTATAAACGCGGCGTAAAACCATACTCACTCACGCATTAATTTGAGACAAGATAGAGTAACAACTGCATATAAAGATGTGACATCAGAGACCATATAGTCTATTATATGGTCTCTGGTGACATCATAAAGAAAATGTTGAAAACAATATTTTACAGTATGAGTAACGTGTGAGTTAGTTGAGTTGGTATGGTTTTACGCCGCTTTCAGCAATATTCCAGCAATATCACGGCGGGGGACACCAGAAATGGGCTTCACACATTGTACCCATGTCGGGAATCGAACCCGGGTCTTCGGCGTGACGAGCGAACGCTTTAATCACTAGGCTACCCGACCGCCCCAGTAACGTGTGAAATGGCGGTGTGTACTGGAGGTTACGTGCTCAATGGGCCGCGAAACCAAGTGTTCACAAGTGACAGATCAGAGTCGTAGTGTTTGTGTGACAATATTTATCAATTATTGGCCATTCACGAGGGCAATATCATGTTTTATGGATCCAAGAAACTGATATTGTCACAGGCCCACGTTCGAGGTCAGTTTCTTCGGTCGATAAAACATGATATTGCCGCGATTGGTGGTCAAAAATTGTTGTTTTACATGATATAAAGAACATGAGTGTTTCAATTTGAGCTTTTATTAACCAACAAATTCAACAATGATTGAATTAGATGTCGCCGGAAGTGACTGATAGTTCGCAACAAGCCATGCGTTTAATACACTCTCGCTGATTGGCTGAAAATACAGCTCTCCTTAGAGTCCATTGGCTTAATCACGCAGTTCAATACCTCTCTTGATTGCTGCACGGCAGGGGGGTCTCAGCGTAATACCGTGTTTTAAAGGTCATGTGACCCTTTCTCAACCAATGAAAATACAGATTTGTGAAAGTAGTACTAGTATGCAAATAGTTACTATTGACGAGGTCAGTATGCGAAAACAAGGACCCGGGGCCCCTGAAGTGGTCTGACCGGACGAAGCCACAGGCCACACTCATTCTGTAGTCATCCGATACCGAAATACACATTTAAGTTTATGAAGCCTTTAAACAGTAAGTTATTTCATTTCAGTAACTTTGCTGCGAACCATGAAATGTCAGTACAAGACGCCATCTCGTTTTCAAGCAGACGAGTCAATATTCATCACGTGACAGGTCAATACTGATCATGTGAAGAGTAAATATTCGAGGTCATTGTCAGCCACATAATTTGGGGGTCTACACTGAAATGTAATGTTTCGTCACGTGATGCTGATAAACCAATGGACCTGCAAGATTCTTGATAGACTTATAACAAAACTAACATTACGGTCGCCATCATGTCCGTAGCGGGCGGGTGGCCGACTTGTACGGGTTTTTACAAGACGGCGATTAATCAGTCAGATATCTAGATTTTATTACGGGTAATTGTCCTTCTTAAGCACGTGTATAGAAACTAGTCTTCGGAACCACATATTTTCTGCGACACTGATTCTGTTGTATTTGTCAAACCCTGCCACAGGCAACGGTAATAAATCACGATTTTAGTAATCATATTGATAGTATGACTTAGTTTTGTTTGTTTTTTATAAATTTTTATTCAGTCATATACACAGAATACATATTCACACGGAAAGCAATACAGCTTTATGAATACAGGTACTTCTCAAAAGGATATAAGGCAGGGCGGGACAACTTAGGAATGGCCAGGAGTCCGAACTTGACCACACAGAAGGAAGCGAGCTACAAAAACATGTTTTATATCATTGGAAAGCTCTCGAGGAGTCGAATCCAAATAATGTGTGTCCCAGTGTGTTCACATGTTCATAAGCTCAAAAATTGGCTCAGAAAATGCATTACTGCAGAAATTTCTGGCCGAATTTTTTTTTTCTGCAGAAATTTCTGGCAGTATTTTTTTTTTCTACAGAAATTTCTGGCCGAATTTTTTTTTTTCTACAGAAATTTCTGGCCGAATTTTTTTCTGCAGTAATATTTAGCAGAATTATTTTAATTCAGGAGAAATAAGATTCAATCATTGGATAGTTTGAATTGAATTCAGCAATTGAAGATATTTATCTTGGTATTATATTTACCAAATTTATTTCTTTGTGCACATCTCATCTTATATATGTATATATATATACAATTCTAAATACACAGCTTTACTAAGAAACAAAAACATACAAAGTACAAAACTCCTGCAATGCAATCCTCGGCAATATCTCAGCCACATAGCTTAGACAAAAAATATGTTCATTTCAGCAAAACTTGCTGCTCCTTCTTTATTGTTCTGATACTGACGCTTGTCTTCGGTGCTTTGTCAGAGTGATCTGAAAGTAAAGAAAAAAAATGTAAAGAATATGAGAACATAATTAAAATCACAGTGCATCTATACAATAAAAGCAAAAATAGTAACCTCATGAAGTTGGGTTGTTTCTCTGCCCACATTACACATATTCTAAGTAACGCTGACTAACCCTAATATTACACATCACAATACATATTTCAAAAGAAATGCAATATTTATTGAAATTACCTTTGATTGTTTTTGCAGTTTTTCATTGTTCTTCTCTATTGCCTCTTGAACTTTAGTTGGGAGGGTTGTCGCTTCCCTTGGGGCAGGCATGAAGGGCTTGAAGTCTGATAGCTTGGTGGTGGGTGTCCGGATGTCCCCAATCTTGAAGGAGGGCATCGCGGGTTGTTGCAGGCTTCTGTCTAAGTTCCCTTGCACTAAACACTTAACAGTTGATCCAAATCTTCATGCGTGTGCCCCACCATGAGAAAGAAAGTTTCACCTGAAAATGGTATTTACATCAGTATTATCACTATGAAAACAAATCAAATTGTACGAAACTTGTTTATTTTTACAGAATATTGATTTGAATATTGAGAGAAAAATCAATCTTGTGCATTTAAAAAGTTTCAACATTGTGTGCAGATTCTTTTATACTTAGGATGAGCAACTGGACATGAAATACTTGCTTCAAAACAATTGTAATGTGGTTTAAAACAATTTACATAAATTATAAAAATATTAACCACATGTGACTTCAGCATTTACTTTGAATTGTATAGTATAGCCTCAAGGAATAAATATGCTATACATGATATTGTATGTGGAGTCATATACCAATAATTTCATTGATAACTATCTTCATGATAGCACTAAAAGTGATACCTTGGATTGCAGCGTCCACTTTTGACTGGCCGACAAAGTCTTGCAGCTTTACTGGTCCTGGAAATGTCAAATAAATATTTGAACAATACATAAATTGCAACTTTAATGTAATTGGATAGTCATACAAATATAACAATTGCCAATTTCCATTCTCAAAAATCCACAATTCCTCCAAAATTAGACAAGCCTACCAGACAAAGATTGAATTTATTCAACAGGCCCGTACCAAGCATTTAGCTAAGACAAAGATAAATTTCTATCCTTCTAAACGTGTGTTACAATTATAATGTACAAACAAATGTCTTGACATACATGGCACGATCCCATTACATCCTTTACTAATAATATTGGACAAACTACAATAACGTAACCCATATATGTGCACTGTGGATACTAAGCTCCACTGGTTTCTAAATAAGAATCTACATAACTCCCTACCAATAGGATATGTAGACAGTAATATATGTTTTGGTTTGGTTTGTTGTTTACTGCCGCATTCAGCAATATTCCACCTATATGACAGCGGTCTGTAATTAATCGAATCTGGACCAGACATTTCAGAGATTCATATCATGAGCATCAATGCAGGTCAGCGAGCCTGACCACGCAATAGTGTTAGTCGCCTCTTAAGACAAGCATAGAATTCACTGGAAACTGGAAAGGAAATATCACAAAAAGACATGGTGTGCTTGGATACCAATTACACAATAATGACCCATTAAATCGGGATTAGTGAACTTTACCGGGCGCACTTCGCCGACTCACCGGCTCTGCTAATTAATGCGTTAATTAGCCGACGCTCTACCACTGGACCACAGGCGCTATCACATGTAATCAGTGCTCGTTTAACAGGTCATTAGAATCACCATTGACATGCATGTGTAATTGAGTAAACAATGAATTGCGCATGCGTGTGACGTCACGGCCCGCTCTCCCATTCATCTTTTCTTGAAACCACACCCGCAATTGTTTATGTCAACAACCAATGGGATTAACTGAATTAACGCTTGAAAAAGTAAGAATTTATGGCTAACCCTTGCCCAAAGCCAGCTAACCCTAATGACCGAAAAACGGGTGTTGGATCGTAAAGACGTGTAAGTTTCCCTAAGACCTAGAACGGGTGTTTGATCGTAAAGATGTGTAAGTTTCCCTAAGACCGAGAACGGGTGTTTGATTGTAAAGATGTGTAAGTTTCCCTAAGACCGAAAACGGGTGTTGGATCGTGAAGCGAGAGTCACCAGAGCGTGAGGCACGGTAACGGTATAACGAGACAGCGTGGCACTATAGCGCGGTAATTGAGCGGATGGTAGAGCTCGGGCTGCGCCCGGTAAACTGCATTGTTGCCCAGAAATTCGAGAAAAAAATTCGCGAAATTCGATGTCGACATGTCCTCTCAAAACGAAGAAAGGGTTCTATCACTAGGTCCACGCGAGAGTATGTCTCGTAAACTTGCCTAGCCCTACGCCTACTGTTAGCACCACCAAGTAGACCGAGCCACCCACCAACTCGCACCCTAATTAAGTCATGGCCCTGTGGGTAACGAGGGCAACACTTACCTGGTATACTACGTACGTAACACCAATATAATGCCACGCGAAGCCATATATATATATAAAGGCTACACAATCCGCGTATGTTCGCAGAGCCCTGGCTCTTCCTTTCCTAGCTCATGTTGACATTTTGATAAAAAAAAAACATGCACCGTGCTTTGATTCCGAAACGAAATTTAAATTGGCAACACAGTCGGTGGTGGTAAAAAAACCCAGCGCAACGAAGCCGATGGAGTACCTCACCCCTACATTCGCCGTACCAGTTTATTTTCGCGTTCGTAGCTCAACTCTACCTAATAGTGCCGATACAATAAATGAACTATAGTTAACGACATTGCACATAAGCATTACTTACCAATTTCAGTGTTTTTCCTTTTTGGCAGATTTCTTGAAGAAAGATGTCTGCCTTGACTGTTGATGACGTTGGTAAGATCTGTAATAGGGTAGCAACATGTTCAGTGAATATGTTCATAAAGAAACCATGATCCAAACAGAAGGCAAAAGTTCTTCAAGATATATACAGTGTTTGGTGTACAAAAATAGAATAAAATGCCTTACCCATGTCAACGTTGTTGAAGCAGAGCTGGTGAACCCTCCTCAAGGCATCCAGAGCTTCTCACTGCGACCAGAACTTGGGTTTTCGATGTGATTTACCGACTTGTTGAATAGTTATCGTTTGATCGTCTGACAGAACGTTCTCGACGATTTAACGATATTTAACGATACCTGATTAGGGTTAAATCTATATATACCATTTTTATGGTCGGGCGTCCACGGCTGATTGGTATATCAAATCAAACACAAGGGTGTATATCATGCCCCTGAGTGTTCACGCCTCACTGGGTGGTCACGTAATAAGGTGTGGCACCAGCATCTCGGGTTACAATTTGATATTAATTCAAGTACTCCACTGATAATGTACATAGGTAGTTAACTTAATTACATTCAGTTTTGTCCGACAAGGAGCGAGTTTACTTTTTTTTAGACACAGACTTTGTAACAGGCTCTTCCCCTGGAAACACATATATTGTAAATAAATATTTTGCCGTTTCCATCAACTATATCACGTGATGTTCTATAACTGTTGTCTTGTACACTATCCATAGTGTAAGTAAGCTGGCTCGAGGAATTTTCATATAGTATTATCATTAAACAACATACCCTATGCAACAGTTATGTTGCTACCCAGACAAAACTATGTTTATATTCTATGTTAAATGTAAACGATCAGTTTTTATTATAAATACAAAACCACCTTTTAAGCGGTAATACCTATCACGCATTAAACAACATATATGAACAACCATGTGATTATAAAGTCTCACGTTGGTTCCTCCGTGCAACTTCATGCCTGACTTACATTCATATTGTTCTTTCACCACACTTACGCTTCTCCAAATTTAGAAAGAAGCTGTGTACACAGTGTTCTTGCGAGTTACAATAACGCGTCCGGTTTGGCGGCAACTTCAAAGAGTGGACATATGGTTGCTCCTTCAGGTAGCTATAATTACCCTCTCTATAATGCAATATCGTATTATCCATTTGTAATGAATGATAGTAACACTAAATCGGATTGGATTCAGTTAAATCTACATTTCTCAAGGTCTCTAACATCGAGATTTGAAATATCTTTCATGTAAATACCTTCTTTGTCATGTGACTTGTATATATTCAGAATCGTACCTACGAACAATGTATTTGAACAATGGCACAAGCAACGTGGTCTCTTTCTGTAAAACATAGCACTCTTTATTTCAGCCACAGCAAAGATCCCGAACCACGTGCAGTCAGCAGAGTTACAGCGTCTTGTTACCGTCTTGCAGTTACGATACAGGTAAGACGTCAAAATATTTATTGTTTTATTTCTGGAAACGCCGACCCTAGAACGTGGAATTTTGGTAACACGGTTATTTCATATAACAACAACCAAATAACATCCTGTACTCCAAACAGTGAATGTGTGGCTCTGCTGCCATGCGAAACGCGATTTGTAAGAGTCTAATTTTAGTGTATTTATTTCTACCACTTTTGATAAAAAAATACGCAAACAATCTAATCTGAAAAGGAGATATCTCCATCCCCTATGGTGTTATTGCGACTTGTATACTGTCTACATGTACATTAGGCAACTTATTGTAGCTGTATGGCGACACTTGTAGTGTAGCTATGTGACCATGAATTTGCCTGTGGTGATCAGTGAAAGTGAAAACACGGAAAATTACAAAATACCAATCCATGCAGTATTTTGATGATTTACATGCGAGTTTTCTATTATTTATAACGTTAGAAATATTTAGATAAAAATAACTTTATAGACCCTATGTTTATTAATATAACAAATTGTTGTATTAATGTTTTCCTAAAATAAACATATATATCATCTTTTCTTATTGCCCCATCAAAGCTGGTGTTGAGACAATATAGAATACGCAAACGACGCATATTGTACGTGCCGTGCCGCCAGACTTCCTGCCAACTTGGCAATTAAATATCCTCGGGTATTGTCACTTCATGCGGTGATACATTGTCTCGCGCACGTGGTCGGTGGGTTTTGTCTATCAGCGCCACGATCACGTGATCGTTTTGTTAATTACTCTGTGTTACGGTCTCGCCGATCCTAAACTTTCAAAGCCTTCAATAAAATTTATGAGATCATTATCTTATCTTTATTCCGACTGAATCCACCTTTATTTCAGACGCCCCCTCACACACACACTCCCAATGCAAATTCACTGAGGCTTGACCGTTACCAATTAACAGCTGTCAATTAAACAGTTCGCATCTAAGTAGTATGTTATCGAATATATTGAAAACCTTTAGCGTGCTACTTTAGGGGGGAGGGGGGGGGGGGGGGGTTAAGGGAGGGTGTTGGTTGTTCACAGGGTTACTCGACAATCACAATGTATACCGGTATTTCAATAATTGTATGATATATTTAGTCCTTGGGCAGCCCCAATCTAAAAACAACAATAAAATCCTAACTCTCACCGACTCCCTTAGTGGACTAAAAGCCCTCCAAAACAAAAATACCAAAAAACGACCTAAATTAATAAACCAAATACTTAAAAGCTCCGACGACCTAACAAAAGCAGGCAAACAAATAACCTTCTTGTGGATCCCCGCCCACGTAGGAATTTACGGCAACGAAAGCGCCGATAAAGCAGCTAAATTATCTCTCAAAATACCAGTAATAAGCCTAAACCTACCCATCTCAAAATCAGAAATTAAAAGTGTAAACAAACAAAAAATAACCATAAAATGGCATAATCAATATCAAAACTCAAATAGCCAAATCAAAAAAGTGCTCAGAAAACCACTAGCCAAAACCTAAAATCCTACACCTCTCTAAAAAAATTGACAGATTTACTACAAAACTCCAAACAGGACACACGAACCTAAATAACCACCTAAAAAAACTTAAAAGACACATCACAGGCAACTGCCCCCACTGCAAACAACCCGAAACCACAGAACACGCACTCATCCACTGCACCCACTACCAAACACACAGAACCACACTACAAACCACCCTCAATCTAAATAAGGTTCCTACTCTAGATGAAATACTAAACCCTCAAAATATACCAGAAAACTCCAAGGCCCTAGGCGTATTCCTAATCAAAACAGACCTAATTAAGCGCATCTAAAAACTAATTATTCTACCAATCCAAAATCCAATAAACATACAAACACCCACCTCACCCGGCTCCCTTAGTTCCCTCCTCCACCCACCTCGGCAATTATTCCAAATTTAAAAATTCCAAAACTTCAATATAAGCAACCCCTAAAACCCCCCTCTTGGGTTGCACACATCACTTTCACCCTTTTCGGAATACAATAAATGGTCCGGCCAGGCCCGTGTGCGAAATACGCTACAGTCGGAAAGCGCACGTTAAATCTCCTATATCAGTCAGTCAGACCCCAGTGTTTCATATCATTTTCCCACCAAACTAAAAAAGAATAACCCCCAACTGGATATGTTTCGTTTCGTCTGTCGATTCATATTTTGGAAATTCAAGGGGAACCACTCCGGCTTATGCAGCACACACATTTGGGAAGGTTGCTTCAATAATAATAATACTTCTTACCATGGTTTCACAGTCGTTCGGAACTTTTTTAAGATCTGACATCAGATTATGCTGTCCGAAAATTTATCTATTTTTTTTTAGTGGAGACAGGCCTATCGGAAATTCGAACTTGAACAGCAACGCCAAAACCACATTCCGCCGCAGTGACCAGCTGCTGATGACATAGACTAGGCTAGCTTTACACTAAGTCTTGTACCAGGCTGGCCCCTCTGGGTAGTAGGTCTGGTCTCTCCTTTGTCCTTGGACCCCCTTTCCGATCATAAGGGTTGAGTACCCCTTGCCAATGAAACACGTGTTTACCATCCTTTTACCTTAGAGCACCCATTTACGACACATGGGGTTAGTTTTGAGTTCGGTTATGGTTTAGAAGTCTCTTGATATAAACATATTTATTTCCATAAAGTGGAGGGATTGGCAAACAAGCAAATTTTGCTTATCTGAATGCCTCTCCCAAACATGATACATAAGTCTCTTTTAACGAATTAATCCAATGTAATTTTCACAGTATACTCATCCTTATATAATTTCAGCTTCATGACAGTGTGAACATTGAGTGCCCCCTACACAAGTATGCAGTCACTGACAACTTATGGAGTGACCTATACAAAACGGAAGATGCAGACGACTAGCACAAGCACGCACGCACACACACACTCAGACGCACGCACGCACATGCTATATAAGTGCAATTATCTTGGACGCGACATTCAACCCAATTTCAACTCACCTCACTTATCTTACTTTGTTCATGTGCCTAAAGTTTGTGGAATGTGTTAATTACTGAAATGAAAAGCATTTTAATGTTTTTTTCATATCTTTTCAGAATATGTGCACATAGCTTTCAATGACCAGACGAAAAAAAGAATTCATTTCAAGTATGTTGAGAAGAAAACGTAAGTAAAGCACACTATTTACATTCATAATACATTTTATTCCGCAGGCTCTATTGTAAAGTTAAACTCTAGCTGCGTATAGGCTGCCATTATCCATTATATTAGACAATATGGATCCACTCATCTATACATCTATTTTCTTTTGTGACAGGACCCATCTCTGAAAAAATCACCTCACCCAAGAAAATACGACTCATTCATGAGAATGAAAAGTGCAAAGTCTCCCAAGAAATTGTCTTGTAATATAGCATGTGAATAAATAATTTTTTGAAATATCTCACGAAATTAGTTTTATTTTATTGCTTGTAATCATGTGAAAAATGTTTGTTTTGAGGAAAAAGGTCATTTGAAGCAACTCCAGGTTAAACTATCCAATGATTGAATCTTATTTCTCCTGAATTAAATAATTCTGCTAAATATTACTGCAGAAAAAAATTCGGCCAGAAATTTCTGTAGAAAAAAAAAAATTCGGCCAGAAATTTCTGTAGAAAAAAAAAATACTGCCAGAAATTTCTGCAGAAAAAAAAAATTCGGCCAGAAATTTCTGCAGTAATGCATTTTCTGAGCCAATTTTTGAACATGTGAACACACTGGGACACACATTATTTGGATTCGTCTCCTCGAGAGCTTTCCAGTGATATAAAACATGTTTTTGTAGCTTGCTTCCTTCTGTGTGGTCAAGTTTGGACTCCTGGCCATTCCTAAGTTGTCCCGCCCTGCCTTATATGGTACAGAGGAGGCCTAAGGCATAATCCACATCGTGGTACAGATGAAGGCATAATCCACATCATGGTACAGATGAAGGCATAATCCACATCATGGAACAGATGAAGGCATATTTATGTATACAATTAAGAAGATGCAGTATTTATGGTACATCAAATTATGTTTCAAACATCAAGTGAATAAGTTATTTTACAGTTTGAGTAAACAAAGCCCATTTTCTATTAGTATGACTTAGTTTCCTATACTCTACCAGACTATCCAGTGTCTACTATCATACAAAATAAATCAATTGGTCCCAAACTTGTTTCTTCAGTATATCATACTATTATGCAAGGGATTAATTTTATAATATGTATTGTTAGCACACAATAATCACAAATGTTTGACCATATGCAGGTCATATTGAAATTCAGTTGCTTAAATTTGTGACCCGTGAAGATCCGGGGTAGAATAGGTCTTCAGCAACCCATGCTTGCCGTTAAAGGCGACTATGCTTGTCGTAAGAGGCGACTAACGGGATCGGGTGGTAAGGGACGCTGACTCAGTTGATGCATGTCATCATATCCCAAATGATCGATGCTCATGATGTCAATCACTGGATCGCCTGGTCCAGACTCGATTATTTACAGACCCCTATAGCTGGAATATTGCTGAATGCGGCGTTAAACAACAAACAAACACAGTTTATATTTGTAACCAAAAAAACTATTTGTGCAAGGAAGTTATGTTTGCGGTGACCGTATCAGCTCTGTTCGGCCACCAGTGGGGGGTTCCTCACAAGGAGACCAGAGGACAGAGTACAACTGGCCCCAACGTTCATGAGGTATCGCTCTCTTCCATCTTGATATTTGAGGTCGTATCACCCTACATAACCTTCCCAACAATATGTACATAGCGTGAAACATTTCATTGATTTGCCCAACAAGTGGTGTCGTATATGTTAACATAGCGCTAGTTGAAGAATGCAGATGCTTTGTGTCCATGTGCTTGACCCAAGGCTCACAACCCACAGACGGGCATCAAAGTCAGAACAGTCTCTGGTCTAGGCGAGATGGGGTGAAATGGGGTTTAACGTCGCATCCAAGATTATGTGTGTGTGTGTGTGTGTGTGTGTGTGTGTGTGTGCTGGTCCGGACTGATGTCAATTTATAGTGCCAGCCCACTGAGATATCATGCCGCAGTTTAACATGAATGCCCCACTCAGACCCAGTATACTGATTCCGAGCCGACCAGCCCTTGTTTTAGCGCCTTAATGCCAAGCGCCTGATAGGGTAACAACAATTACCATCTTTTGACGTCTTTTGGTATGACGGACATTCCGCTCTCCGAGCGGACGCTCTACCTCTAGACCACGGGGGCGGTCTCTGGTCTAAGAAAAGTTACAATATAAGTTGTCCACCAGTCTATAGAGGAACATGGGTCCTTCAGGCTTGGGGAACCTAAGCTAACATAGAGGGTACATCAACCATTGTCAACCGAGGTACCGGTGGACAACGAATTAATCTTACCGCACACCTAATCATATTGCATGTATGTCTACTACATGGTTTGGTCCGAATCGGTAAGAATACCACAGTCAGGCATTTGTCCACTTTGTTCATTTTTCACATTTACCGAAGCAGCAGACACAAACCAAACTTAGAGTTATCCCCCCTAGATCTTTTTCATTCGGAAAATATCGTTAATATCCGGAGAATGGCAGCTTACATCACTAATTCGTGATACAAAATTGGGTGTTGGTATTTTGCGAATGTATTGCCAATAGTTCGACAATTCGAGCCGGGAACATTAGACATTCACCTACCATGTCAGCGGGTGACATTGAAAATATCATAATAGAATGGGTCTCAGCCAATCAGAATCCGACATTCATGTGTAAGGTAATATATTAGTGTATGTTTAAACAGTTTTACGTCACGATAGTCATTTATTGGGCTACACAAAATGGAAACGTTTCTCGGGTATCGTTGCGTCACTTTAAATCCTGGTGGTCTGTCATTTCCATTGCAGTAAAAAAATACTTTTGAAATGTCCTGCGTCATATGAAGCATACTCTTTAATCTATTTAATTAAAAAATAGCGACTGACATTGCATCTAAGGGCCGAGTTCCATGTGTACCCAGTGTAGTTTGTTGGTTTTCTTGCCCAGTAAAATAAAGAGTGTCCGATAGATTCCACCCGCAACACTTTTGTTTTTAAATAACAAAAAAAGACCTACCGCCCTCCTCATCTTTGTGCCAGAGAAATACTTCAATGATTAATTATTTTAAAACTTCAATGATTGTAGTCTTATATTTAAAGATTTTGTTTTAATCTATGCGTGTACTAACATGTTTTGTTTATATGTTGTTTAACGCCGCAATATCCTAGCTACATGGCGGCGGTCTGTAAATAATCGATTCTGGAGAAGACAATCCAGTGATTGACATCATGAGCATCGATCCACGCAATTGGTATACCATGACATACATCAACCAAGTCAGCGAGCCTGACCAACCGATCCCGTTAGTCGCCTCCTACGACAAGCATAGTCGCCTTTTACCGCAAGCATGGCTCGCTGAAGACCTATTCTACCCCGGATCTTCACCGGTCGTACTAGCATTTATTCCCCCCAATGTTTATGTTATCAGTTTGTTGACCTTCTGTTTATGATGTTTTCCTGATCACATCCGCTGCTTTTTCTCTTTCACAAAACAGTGAATGGCTTCTTTATATGTATAATAATTTACGCAGCGTACACACCAGTTTGTACTTCTATACCTCCATTAACGCAAAACCTATTGAAGTCAATTCTAAAATGCACATATGAGCACGTAATGACACAACACTGAAAACAGTGAAAAAGACATAAACTACATTCCAATTACCATACTTCAAAGTTGAAAACATTTAGACTCGGCGCACCATTTCTTTACGCCACTCCGTCAGATGTATCATTAACTTGTGCAAGAGCACCAACATGGACGCGATAGCTGCATCCGAAATAATTCAAATTTTTGCATGTCAATGACTGCCTACCGGGGCCGTCAGCCTGTCTCTGTTTTTGGAATCGATCTCACAGAAGCAAAAACTTTTCCGAAATACTTCGACTCCAGAAGAGAAAGAGAAAAGCAGGACTTGGTATGTTTAACGTCTGGTATTAACAACATCAATATTAATCATTACATCTCGCGCATCGTGGACGGTATTTAGTTAGGGTTAGTGTGGTTTAGAAATGTTTTGACAAGAAATAGTTTCAAAGCCTGAATTGAACTTTTGATCAAATGCAAGAGGGAGGTGTATTTTGATCTCGTGCAGCTGACGAGATCTGGATGCAGCAGACAATACGGGATATTTAAATGAATTCGACAAGATAACTTTTACATTTTATGAGGAAAATATTTTGATATCATTTTCCACATTTGAAAGCGTTCTTTCAACAGAGCACATTTCATCTTCCATTAAATGTTGTATGCTAACCCAACAAAGAAATATCTCCACGTTTAAAGTTCGGGCCGCTCGTCTGAAAAGATGAAACATCGTCTTCGGCGATCTTAAACAAAACATCCACAAAGGTTAAAGTTTTGGAAGTGCTGTACAGTGCAAGATAGTTTCAGTGTTCAGTCTTCAGTTTACAGTCTACTGTTTCATTGTTCATTAGACGCTTCTGTGGTGAGGGTCATACTCTTTACATATTTCACTGTTCTTTCATGTGGCTTTTTCAAGTTCATCAAAATTAGTCCATTAAAAGGATGGCTGCCTCAGAACCAAGTTATACGACAAGAGGGTGATTTCGATTTTCCAATCGTTAATTCCCTCTTCATGTTGAGCAATAATAGCATCTGCTACAGCTTATATGGCGTCCACATTTCTCAGTTGCTTAAGCACTTAAGAGCATGTACATTGTAAAAAATATAAAACATGTGATTAGAGACATCTGCGTAGGAAGACTGAACAAGCTTTGGAACACCACTTTCAGCGATATCCCTGCCTCATCACGGCTGAAGACACTCAGATTGAACATGTGAAGATCCGGGGTAGAATAGGTCGTCAGCAACCCATTCTTGCCGCAAAAGGCTACTGTGCTTGTCGTAAGAGGCGACTAAGGGATCGGGTGGTCAGGCTCGTTGACATGGTTGGTGCATGTCATCGTATTCCATTTGCGTGGATCGATGCTCATGATGTCCATCACTGGATCGTCTGGTCCAAACTCGATTAATTACATATAGCTGGGATATTGCGGCGTTAAACAACAAACAAACAAACAAAAACACTCAGAATTAGCTTCACACATTATGCCTTTGTCGGGAATCGAATCCAGTCATCAGCTTGAACACTATGCTATCCCGCCGCCTCAAGTCGGAGCAGAAAGAATCATGTCCTTAAATGCGTCTAAATCTGGCACAGCAACAAGCTGTCTCGAATTTTCCAAACATCGAACAAATGACACTTCAACTTCAACGGGCTTCGTGTTTACCATCCTCTGTTGGCTCTTCCTGACTTCGCTAGCGGTCACTAATAACCCTTTCATCCTTCCCCACATTTTCTTCATTCGTCTTCTTTCTCTGCTA